GATAATGAACAGAGGAAACGAACCCACCTTTGTGAGCAAGATCGGCAGCTCCATAATTGATCTTACTCTCGCGACCCCGGAAACTGGGCCAGCGATATCGGACTGGCACGTATCGAAAGAGGCGTCATGCTCTGATCATCGGTGAATTCGGTTCGACTTACAGGTACCGATCACTGACCTCGTCCCTAAAAGGTACCCCAAAAAAACTAACAAAACCCATTACAATCGTTTGGTGTCAGAGAAACTGTGTACGAGCTGTGAAAATGGTAGAATCGACACCACGGTAGAAATAGAACAGCAGGTAAATATGGTCTCCGATTGCATCCTTGAATGTTACAAGGAGGCCTGCCCTCTCAAGCTTCCGAAATCCAAAGGTTCGGGTAAACACCTTTGGTGGGGTCCCGAGCTACAGAAAATAAGAAGCAAGGTGAGGAAGAAATTTAACCGAGCAATGAACACCCGGAGTGAATTGGACTGGGACAACTACAAAGCCATTAAAGCTAAGTACAAAAAACATATTAGATACTGGAAAACAGCCTCTTGGCGTAGCTTCACCGAAGAGATAAATTCCACAACACAGGCAAATAGGGTAAGGAAAATTTTGGCGAAGCAAGGTCCTGGCACGTTGGGAACTCTCCGAAGACCTGACGGCACGATGTCCCAAAGCCAGGATGAATCCAATCATATCCTACTACAGACCCATTTCCCAAACTGTCAATCAATTGAACAGGTAGTATGGCTTGATGTCACGCCGACACCGACGGAAAGATGCTGGCGCCTTGCAACAGAAATTGTAACGTCTGAAAAGGTGAGATGGGCCATCAGCAGCTTCTCTCCCTTTAAGGCGGCAGGAAGCGACGGCATTTTCCCAGCACTACTACAATGGGGAGGCGAGACTATTGTCACAGCACTCACCTGTATACTACAAGCGTGTCTTGCTCACCGATACACGCCACACAGATGGAGAGAAGTAAAGGTAGTATTTATACCCAAACCGGGAAAAACCGACTATACTAACCCCAAATCTTTCCGGCCCATCAGTCTAACATCTTTCCTACTCAAAACTCTGGAAAGACTATGCGACAGATATGTACGAAGTGGTGCACTGAGCATTTCTCCGATACATAAACATCAACACGCCTACTTAGCAGGTAAATCTACAGAATCGGCCCTCCATCAACTAGTCGGTAAGATAGAATTGGCCCTTCACAACAAGCTCATCTGTCTTGGCACTTTCATCGATATCGAAGGTGCCTTTGATAGAACCAACTTCACCAGCATTGAGGCGGCTCTCAAAAGACATGGAGTAAAGCCACAAGTTATAGACTGGATCGTGAATATGCTACGCAACAGGATAGTTCGGGTGGCAGGTGAGGACAGTACGGGGGCACTGGTGGCGCGGGGATGCCCCCAAGGGGGAGTGCTCTCGCCGCTACTGTGGAACCTGGTGGTCAACGACCTGATCACACTCCTGAATGCAAACCATTTCTACACCATAGGGTATGCCGATGATATCACAATATTAACTCTAGGCACCCATGCTGGTATAACCTGCAACACCATGCAAGCCGCCCTGAAGAGAGTCGAACGCTGGTGTGAAAAGTACGACCTGACCGTGAATCCTGCAAAAACGGAACTGGTAATGTTCACAACCAAACACAATGTAGGCACGTTTCAACTACCGAAACTATTTGGCACAACACTACAACTGTCCAAGGAGGTAAAGTATCTAGGCATAACCCTTGACAGTAAGTTAAACTGGAACAGCCACATAGAACACAAAATTAAATCAGCGAGCGTCATCCTGTGGCAATGCCGCAAAATGATCGGGAAGCGTTGGGGACTTGCGCCAAAACTGTTCTTGTGGCTTTACAACACAGTAATACGACCGATGGTAAGTTATGGTGCCATTGTTTGGTGGCCAAAAACTACTCAGTCCTCCTGTGAAAACAAACTGCAGAGCTTCCAACGGCAGGCGTGCTGCGCCCTGACGGGATGCATGAGCACGGCGCCCACGGCAGCTCTGGAGGTAATGTTGAATATTACACCGCTACATATTTATATTAGACAGGAAGCGGCCAAGACAGCGTTGAGACTAAAAAATCATAAACTGGTAAGGTTCGATACCGCTAAACATCTCAATGGCTTACTGAAGGAATGGCTTAACACCCCGCTTGTAGAGGCGGTTTGCGACAGAATCGAATCCACCTTCATCTCTGACAAGAAATACAAGATACATCTTACGGACAGTGACGATCCAAAGGTAACACACAGGGCCCTCACAGTTTTCACGGACGGCTCCAAAACCTTAACAGGCACAGGGGCTGGTGTATTCTCTGAGGACCTTAACATACATCTGTTCCTGCCCCTCGGCCCATACAATACAGTCTTCCAGGCTGAATGTATGGCGATCACCCTGGCGGCGAGAGCGATAACTACAAGGAAGGTAACAGGATCAGAAACCCGGATCTTCTCGGACAGTAAATCAGTCCTACAGGCTCTCAAAGGAAGTTCTGTCCGATCGAGTCTTCTACAGGAGTGTCACCAGGTTCTAAACATGGTAGGGACACACAATATAATTACTATCCAATGGATAAAAGGACACAGTGGATCACGTGGAAATGATGCAGCTGACGAACTGGCACGCAGAGGATCAGATGCAACACCAATGGGCCCGGAACCGATCATTCCTATTCCGGTAAGCTGGTTAATTGGTAGGATACGTGAACACTCGAGTAAACTACATCAACAATACTGGCACACTTTGGAAACCTGCAGGCAGGCCAAACTTGCACTACCCCGAGTGAACGCTCGCCTCTCCAAAGCCCTCCTACAGCTAAGTAAACCATATTTGCGCCTGGTAACGGGTGCTATTACTGGTCATGGCAACTTTAACAGGCACCTTTTCAATCTAGGTGTCACTGACAGCCCCTTGTGCAGAGGATGCATGGAGGCGGAAGAAACAGCCACTCACGTCTTGCTAGAATGCAACGGAGTGGCCAACTACCGGGCAAAGTACCTCGGCTCGCCGGGCAACCTCCAAGAGGCCATCGCAGATGGGAAGGCGCTCGGGGCGTTCCTGGCAGAGCTGGGCTGGCTGGAGTAGTATCCAGCCACACACCCTCCACACGTAAAATAGGCGCAATTTGGTCGTCGAGTTGCGGAGACGCTATCCTTTAATTGAAGTGACTTAAACTTTGCGACGATATTCTTTGGTTTATTAGGTACACGGGTCGGACAACGGTGTGCATGTATCAAGTCGTCTTCAGAGACTTTTAACCCGACACAGTTCGCGATGGAGATTAGATATCGAGCTACATTCTCTCCAGCATGTTCTGGAACGTCGCAGATCTCCAGGTTGTGAATGCGTTCACGTTGTTGTGTTATGTATTGTTCATTTTGTAATCGTTCAATTGTGCTTTTACATTCAGTGAGGTCGTGTTGCATATTAAGCAGGTGTCTAATGTCCGATGACATTTTGCCGAAGCTAATCTTTAAGTCATCCTGTTCCTTTAAATGAAATTCCATAGAAGCAGACAGTGTATCCAATTCCGTCTTGACGATATTATGTTCAACTATTATGGAATCCGTGATGGTCTTTATAGAGCAGACTTGATTTTTTATTTCGGAGACATTATCTCTAATACGGTTCATGTCCTCGTCATGAGACTTTCTAAACTCACGAAGAAATCCCAACATTTCGTTACGAAAATCCATGAGTTCATGTCTTAGTTCAGTGTCTGAATCAGGTAGTTTGCGTTTGTTTTTACGCGTGTTAATCAATGTGTCCAATGTCAGCGGGGACGAGTCGCATTTAGAGAGGTCGTATATGGAATATGGGCTGTCATAAATGGCACGGATTATAATAATATTTTAAATTGATGATAAACAACAAGCGCACGTCTGCTCGCGACGACCGCGGAAGGCGGAAAAAAGTGATTTGTTTAGTGATTGTCTAGTAGAATTTGTATGAAAGCGGTCTTATTAATCTTAAACTGACTCAGGTTTGAAAACACTCATTTTTTTCCAAAAACTTCGTAATTTAATATCTCCGAAACTATTTGACCTAGACATATATATTTTTTTTACATCACATTAAAGACAAATAGTACTCTCCAGGAATCTCGGGAGACACAGTATAGAAACTAAGCCTATTTGATAAAATAAATACCTACGCTCCATTGAAACCATAGGGTTGTCGTTTTGAATGTTTCTTTTACAAAATATAAAAGGAGTTCTGACATTATCAATCAATCGAATTGTAATAACTAATTAACAAACAAACAATATACATACACATTTGTTCAGACGGTGATATCTACTTATATTATTCTATTATCACCACATGATATAGAAATAACATATGCGAAAACTGGGCGGTTAAAATATGTTTCCAGACTAAAATATATTTCCAGATCATACAAAAATCTTATTTTTTATTTCATATAAGCCTACTCCTTTCCTAATCTTTCCTTCATTTTTTAAATAAAAACGATCGCGGAACGTATAACGTGACCCCTCATCTCGACGCGCTACGCGTTACTGAGCGTCCTGTTTGTTAGGTCCACTTAGGCGGCTCGTCGGTGAGCGTGTTTATGTGTGCGTGCGATTTCGAACGCTTGTAGGCAGTTTCTCGGGAGTGTCGGTCGTTCTGTTCCACCCAGTATAAGACAGGCCAACGTCTGTCATGTAAGCTAGTATTATATATTTTAATATCATTAATTCGAACCAGAGCTCCTGTATAGACAAATCGAACGTATTTTAGAAATATACATTATAAAAAAAAAAGTATGTTAAAATCGGTACCTACGTAAACTAAGAAGTTATTGGTCAGACATTCATAAAATAACATACTGACGAGAACCTTTCTTTTAAAATACAATTAATAAATATAAATAACTTTCGGTTTGAAGGTGTCAAGTGTGAGCCGTTTACAACTCTACTTAAGCATAATAAAGATTACAATTGAAATAGCATAAAGGTATTAGTATTATAATTACCAGTTCAGGAGTTAACGACGCAGACCGCCCTGCGCGAGGCTGCAACAAAAATAAGTTATTTCAGGAAATATAAAAAATAGGATAGTATTTTTTTTAATTTACATTCGAGCCAGACCTAGATCGGTTAGGACTGATCGTGACGTCATTTACGTCATAACTATGTAACGAAGTAATTTTAGTGTTAGTAATTAACGGTACTATTAATAAACAAAATTTAGCGTCGTAAATTTACTTTAACGTTAAACCTTGTTTATTAATAGCACAGTAAGTGTTAGACAATGTTGTATTATGTAAAATTATATTGTAATCAATTAAAGGAAATCTTAATCGAGTTTATGTATTTATACAGGGTTATTTGCAAAACTCTGTAACATAGATCTACAAGTGTCACGACAGCACACAAAAAAAAAACTTAAAAAATAACTTGTTCAAAGTGTTAACGTCGCAAATAATGTTCACGCGCGCACACTCACCATGGTCCTGGTCTCGTGCGCGAGGCGCGCCGCGTACCGCGCGATGAGGCGGTGCTCGTCGTCCAGCGGCCGCAGCTGCGCGGGGTGCGAGTGCGTGGAGCGCGACGAGCGCGAGTCCAGCGAGCCCGTGTTCACGTACCCGCCCCCGCCACCGCCCCCGCCCCCGCCACCGCTGTACTCCGGGAACCCGTTGTGCGCCGGCACCGGAGACGGCGGCCTGAACGCGACAAACCACAATTTGCCACTTGACACTTTTGGAAAAGTATTTTAAAACTTTCATATGGTGGTATTAAGCCATCAGGATTATTTTTCTCCAAAAAGTTTTATTTAATACCAGCTGTTTTCCCGCGACTACGCACGTGTAAATTATAGCCTATGTAAACCCCGTACGATTTATATAGCTGGAGGCTGTTTTTTTTTATAACAAAATAATACTCCTAACTTATTAAGTAGGTAGATATGATTAACTTATTAGGTATTATCTCGTACATAAAATTACATCCAGTCATGGATGTTGTGATACCTCCGTTGCCTCAGATTTCCATAATAGAACTTGGCTTTAACTATTTGTGAGATCTGATCTGAGTAATGTATGTTATATTGTCTAATATTTATAAATTACACTGTTTTTTGGCGACTTAGCCCTAGTAAATTATAGCTTATGAAATAGATTTTCATAAGTGAAATATTTTTTTAAATAGGTCCAGTAGTTTCGGAACCTATTCAATGCAAATAAACAATACAAATCTTTCTTCTTTATAATATTAGTATAGCAAAATATATCTTTATTCATGTATTTACGTTGTCACATTTCAATAAACATAAGTACTGGTTTTTGATTATTTGAATGATTCATCGTACGATACTCACACTATGTGGCTGAGGTTGAGCGTTCGTTCAGGCTGGTCTGGATACCGCGGCAGCTGGGGCCGGGCCCGCTCGGGAACGCAACGGAATGATTTACGTAACGTTGCACCTATTTGCTTCGACGGTGATTTCTATGCACACACAATTTTTCTTGATTTGAATAAAGAAAAGCACATAGTAAATGTACAATTGGTGAAAAATGACGAACTCTAATTTCGATTTGCAACCTTACTCGGTTAGACATAAAAGCTAAAGCCAGTTCAGTAATCTCATTAACGTTCGTAGCTTAACATTTGAAAAATTAAAGAAAAGGAAGAAATTCTATTCTGGATTCATATTGTAAGATTAAAACGTCATGGCGTTAGATCGCATCAGAGATTAAAGCTTTCGGTGTTAAAATAAATATCAAAAACAGTACACTAAAAAGGTCGGATTAAATCAGTGACTACATTCATGACGGCGAAGGCGCTCCTATATTTGGTACATCGGCGATGGATGCGTGCGCGTGTACTCACGTATGCGGCGTACTCCTTGACCTCGTGCTCGTTGGTGTGCACGCCGGAGACGCGGCCCCGCCAGAAGCAGTCCTGGCACAGCGTGTAGTTGGCGCAGCGCGTGCAGCGGTAGCGCAGCCCCGCCAGCGAGCCGCGCCGGCACGCGCTGCACGCCAGCGGGTGCACCACTGCAACCACACCCACCATGAGTCCACCATATCGTCCACCCGTCCTCCTATCCTCCTATCATTCTATCCTCCGGATCACACGAACACGCGAACATCACCAGATACCAACCTCACCCACCTCTTTAATTTCCTTTTTAACAAAGGTGTTAAGCTCGTAAAGCTGATATAATTCCACCGGTTTTAAATATGTTATGCGGGTCATAAAAAACGCGTGTGTTACCAGAGCAAATAGTTAAGTTATAGTCCATACAAATTCCATAACAGTATTATTTGCCATTTCGCGCGCGTTTCGATTCAAATTTCGAACTAATCGCCGCGCGGCGCCAATCAGTAGGCAGCGCTAGCGCGCTCTTAAAATGGCGGGAAAGCAACTGTGTACATTCACAGATTGAGTTTATTTAATGTTTTTTTTCTGTTTCCTCGCAAATGTGTTAAAAAACGTCGTACGATATACGTGCGTATTGGTTATAACGCACTAATATCGTAATGTACTATGATAATATTTAATTTTCGAACTAATTAACAATATCCATAGGGCGACAGCCCTTACGTTATTCCTATTATAGAATCGGTCCCTCGGTCTTCGTATCTGAACCATTAGAAGCATATTCCTATGATCGACGTCGTTTGTGATGATACCGAACTGTTTATTTTCACATATCGCGACGCCAAAAGACAAAACTTCATATAATTTTAATACCTCGAATGACTAATAATATGATAGTGCTAAAAACCTGCAACTTGGTCGATGTAAAGATTCAAATTAATTTTAAATCCAAACCTAACATAATAGCTTTCTATACATATTTATAACTTATAAAGACTCAATGCTCAATTTCAAGACTGATTTGTATTTGAAAATATGATTAATTAAATGTAATTTTTATTATTATATTAATTACACGCAATTAAAGAACACATAACACATTGTTATACAGAGTAATTGATGTCATAAACGATAACATTTAAACTTTTAACAAGTATTATATTTATTATAGAATACAAAGTCCGTTGAATAAATAAAAGAATATTCTTCAAGTTTTTACTGTACCATCGTGATATTTATAGGTCTATGTTTTATCGATAACACTCCGCCCGCGTAATGTTGGTGATGGGCGTATTATTAACGTTCGAACAGTAAATTCGATTCAATTTTTTTTTTACGAAAGAAAAACATTACGAATTATCAAAGTCACTGTACGAGCATTATTTATTTATGATGTTTGCCATTCCTTTGCGGTTATCGATATTTTATTTATTCATTTGCAGCTAACCCTGTATATTACATTTGCTCACCGTTTTCGACGCTAGCTAATCGATGCAACAACGGTAACCACACTAGACATGGAGGACCAGGATCTGACATCAACGTGTCCAGAAAATCGTTCACCGTTATCTTGCCATTCTATAAAGAAATAAAAAATCTTGTAGTACTTAGTACTCGAAATCAAATATTACAGTCCAACGTCAATACAGATTTAAAAGTGATCAAAAATACTGTAACATCCATCTACTTTATATATACTATAAATAAATATTGCACTAAATAAAAATTTATATAAGACATGATTTTTGACAACCGGACTCTAATTTCTGTGAGACACAAGACAAAAGCTCTAAAAGCATTTAATTTTTCTAGTTACCTGATTGAATATGGAGAGTGCCAATGCATCATTGTAGCTAAAAGATGGTGACTCGTAAACGGCAGCGGGGAGTGCTAAAACCTCCCTTAGGTACTCGGACAGACGCTTCATCAACAAGTGACCGTTGCCATCAGACAATTGAGAGAATATGTCTATAAAATCACATAAAATTAAGCTCAGCTTGCAAATAATTCATACAAATTAAAATGACACCTAAGGGCTTGTTCTATCTGTCTGAAAGTTTTGTTAAAATCATATTCCTGAAGACTATTTAAGCATCGGATTTTCATTTACCAAAATAATATTTCATTTGAATATCAGAATTTCGAAAATAGACGAAATTTCGTTCTCGGAGAAATAGGCCTTCAGGTGTCATGGTAATTCGTACGAGTACTATGTATGTATATCTATACTAGCGTTAATGCATTTTGAGGTCTTCGAAAATTCTCAAAATTTGGTTACCAATATAGAGTAACAACATAGTGGACCAATTGCCTTCTTTTCCAGTACAACTTACATCTCAGCTTGTCCATTAATTTTCCAGCGCACATCGTTGCAAGAGCCACTTTAATAGAAAACACTCTGATCTTGCCTACATTCTCTCTGTAACAAACGATACTTTTAATTTGTACATCTGCACATAGTTGTAGATTTCGATATGACCAATTTCGTCGGCTTCAATGCAGGAACTGCAAGTTCTGGTGAACAAGTGACAAAGAGTACTTACATATTACATAAGTTTCCTTTTTTTAGCACTAGAACGTCCTGCACTGATGTCGACGATATTGCAAAGCTGAATAAATAGCTGTTAAAGATAGTGAAGACCAGGTTTGTGCACTTACGCGGCGGTACACTTTTACAAAGTCTTCAGAAACTTGGTTCTCATAAACTTAATCTCAAGGACATCTCAGTGCATTTTAATGCTTTTGTTTTTGCCCACGTACTATTTTCCTTGTGTCCAATATTAATAGTACTATGTCGTACTTGATATATCAATATTATTAGATATATTTATTTTGTGATCTACCACTTAACTGAATTGGTTTCGATTTGATTGGTATTGGGGTAGACATTTTGTTAGTAAACTATGTCAAAGAAAGGTATTCTTGAAACAGCAAGACGGTTCTTACATTATTAAAGTAGAGACCCAGATCGAACGTGCTGACTACTGGATCACTTATCAACTATAGACTTATGAATCTTACCCCGTACTATAAGCCGACAGCAGCCAGTTCAATAGCAACGCCGAGCACGACTCGACCGACACTTGGTGCGCGGGCGGCAATCTTTTGTTCAGATTGTGGTACAAGGATGACACGAGTGTTTCCAGCCGGGTGACATTCACACACGCGTTCGGCTCTAAGGTGTTCAGGGCGTTTTCTCGAAACGCCTCTATAACATTCCATATATCTATGACGTGCACTGAAATAATAGCATAACATATAACAAGCTTGTGTCCTATAAGTAAAAATACAGGTTTCTGTTATATGTTCGGAAAATATGAACCATTTGACTCATAGATATTTAACAAAATGAATTTTATGACACTTATTTGGATAATATTACACTCTGAAAACTTGTAAAAAGTGGGGAATACATTACCAAAATTTGCTTAAATACATAAGGCATTAAATTATTTACATAAAATGTAACAACTTTCATTATGATATCTAAAAACATAAAAGCACAAATAATAAAGATTGCCTAAACACCTATACGCCTTAGTGCCTTGAATTTATAGGGAGCGTTATCGGCCGAAATGCAGCAGTTCCAAAAACATAGCACCGTAACTCCGAAACTATTAATCTGTTACTTTTTTAATGATTTCTCAGATATTAATGGACTATTTATTTATAAAATAAAAGTTGTCAACTAGCCTATTTACATGATCATTTCCTTCTTCCAAAAACTACCAACTATAACTCTTTAGAAAGAGCATCTTCAGGAGTTATAACTAAGGTGAACACTATAGGGTCAGTTGGACAACCTCCACCGATTCCTGCGCGGTTGGATTTAGACATGCCGGTGCATCCTCGGCTACCGGTATAGTCCCTTCGCGGATTTTGAATCGGAATGGAGGGAGGGAGCCTGCGCGGCGTGCAAGAGACCGACATCTTGGTACAGAGTACGTAAGACTGAACAGGTCGGTGTGTAAGAATCTATCTGAGGCCTGTCCACCCCCGTAAGACTTTGTACCTTTATCTGCCTTCCTCTCTGTCGGTCGGTACTCTGGGTCAAACAAGACTGGGGGGGCATACAAATCGCGACTGAGCTGGGACAACCCACTAAGCCTTGGATCCATCCTGCTTTCCATTCTGTCAGGGTTTCAGGACCAGAGAACCATTGGGGAATTTCTTTCAAAGCCGGCCGGAAGGCGAGCGCAGGCGTCAGGTTGAGCCTTGAAGAGGGCTTTGCGTGAGATGATCGGCCTGCAAGACTGGCGGAGCGGGTGTGCGGTAAAGGTGAAACTGTTCTCCTGGTGACATTTGCCATCGGCAATGGTGGTGTTTCGAGAGATAACGCATCTCTTCCCTCTAAATAGGTAGAGCAGGTGATTGACAACCACTTGGTTATTGTATATCCCTAACTGTCTGGGTTCAATGCACACAAGTCTTCTCTGTTGTGAGGGTGGCTTTTGGCCTGAACAGGGGATGTGGAGCACTGACCTCTTAGTCTTTGTTGGCTCCCAGGCCCTTCCCCCAAGAGAGTCATCAGATTATTTAGACTAGCCTATGGTAGAGTCCAGAACCCGAGGAAGCCTTTGTCAAAGGACAACCTGGTGGTACAGATGCCGATGACGGCGGAAATAATAAATAACTATAATGTGCAAAGTCAGAAAATAAAGGCTATTTTTATTTATTTTTATTTTATGGAAGGGTCCATGCGGATGGAAAGTCTCAGAATTGAATCTTAATTAAATTTATAACAAAAACTCATAAGGATTAGGTAGGTGTTAAAATGATAATATGTGTATCATATTAATATATCACTATCTTGTTTATTACTATTGTAATAAATCTGTGAGTATGCTACATACAGATACAGTATTGAGTAACAGGCAACAATTAAATAAGTAATCCAGTGTATGCAATATAGAACATAATATCAATTTAAGTACTACCTACTAATAGTGCATTACTTACAATTGCATTTCTTTTGAACATATCGTAATTTGCATGCCGTCCTATATGATGCAAACCGGATCAGATCAAAGTTCTGCTCCCGCATCTCCTGAAGCAGTTGTGAACGTGGGTCATTTGATGTGCCCACATTCATAGGTAAAGGAGGCATTTGAGGCATCTGACCCATTTGGGCCATTGAACCCCCACTTTCTCGTTCTAAGGACATTGTGATTCCTGTAATAATATTTCTGGAATTATTATAGTGACACAGAATTCTTCATTAACACATTTATTTATCTAATTTACCATATAACATAATAAATACAAAATTTATTGTGTTTGGATATTTGTTTGCATTATGTAAGTCTCATTGACTGATATTTCTTATAGAATACGTTTTATACTAGTAATAGGTTATGGTGCATTAGCAATAAAAATATCTTAATATAATTTTCCTACCATATAAAAAAAGAAAAAATTATATTGAATAGTGGTGAGATAATTAGTTTAGGTAAATTCTTTTGGAGATATTACAAATCAGCAAAATTTGTTTATAATTAAAATATGTTAATAACAAAATTTTACTTAAACTTTTGTTATTAACCGTACTATTAATAAACAAGGTATTAGTCCAAATTCATATTATACAGAGAATAAGCAAACCTTCTACTACCTTCTACAAACTCCATACTAGGTTCACCTTTACTAAGTCTCCGTCTAATTTTATGAATATTAACTAATACCAAGTGCAGCCTCAGCATAAACTTACTCCAACACTAAACCTTGTTTATTAATAAGACTGTTAAGACTTATAGCTATTGATATAGTATACAAACTGGATCTAAAGCACTCATAAATTATACATAACTTTTTTCTTATATATAGTTTACTTACCATTAACAAGAAACATTATGATACCATGAAAGTATTACAAAATATTTTTTTAGCCACATTGAAGACAAACAAGCAACACATGTGTTAATCATATTTGAACAGAGTTATGAAACAGCACTTCACATTAATGTATGAATCACTTCATTAGCATGCACGGTACATTTGAGACTCAAATATAACCTTGTTTAAGCGCTGTGTCAACGATAATGAAAGAACTTACAATAGTTTTTTAAGTGTGTTGTTGCATTTTACATCAAAAATTGCTCTTCAGTGATAATAACATGGTTTTATTGGACTAAAAATGTGTATGCAAACATGCCATAACCTAATGTTTTTTGTTTACACAATTATCTATTTTATTTTCTAAATTTTTTTGCACATGTGTAGAATACCTAATAGAAGTATTAATTATACTTTGGAGACAAGAGATATGAAGGATTTAAAAAGATTTGTTAGACCCTAGTTATTATAAACAGTATATAGATATAAAAAAAGGCACAGAACCTACGTTTCTTAAATTCTGTAGTTGTAAATAGGTTCCCTTTCAATAATAAGAACCATTTATGGTTTGTTGGAAATACCAATAATTTACGTTCTGATAAATCGTACGCACGTGTATATCTTAAGTTTTGTTATTTAAAGTAATTATTATGGCTTACCTTTAACTCATAAGTTTGTTGACATATCGATAACAAGATATCCACGGTAATCTCAGCTATTTTTGTAGATAAATCGATTGGAGATGTTACCTATCTTTTGATGAATACATTGGCCACTAATTTAGCATAAGCACTACAAAATTCGCAGTTCTGTCATAATATTAGTTATAGAATAAATAACGTATTTTGGTATTAAAACGCGAAACACCCCAGGAAAACTATTTAGTAAAAAAATTACAGAAATAAACCAACCACAACATTGACAAGTCTGCCATTGATACCGTTTCTTTACAAGCAAAAGCAACGAACTTTTATTACGCTAAAATCTAGATTTTTATAATGAGATTTTTTGTTAATATATTTAAATAAAATATATTAATTTATGGATTTTCATTTCTTATAATATTTTCAAAAATGCCATTTTACGAAACAAATTACATTTTTACGCATAAGTTCATTTTGTGAAATGGAATGCAAATTTGTTTTTTTATTTATTGGACATAGGGGTAGTAAACATATTTTTCATTACATAAAAATATTTAAAGATTTAACTTTTCTTCAAAGAGTATTCATTTATTACAAATTAGGGACAGGCTAAATACATTGATTATTTTCTGATATAACATGATATTGAGCTAAATCTAGTTATATGTAGTTAATTCATGAGGTGCTAGTCTACGAATAAAATTAGGTTTGTATAAATAACCCTAAGGTGTGAAATAGAATGTATTATAATTGAAACAAGCCTTATTATTTTTGGGCTATCGTAGGCGTGCAGGCCCGAGTGCGAGCTACATAAATAGATAATAAATTCTAAATAGCATAGGATTCGCCGCGCTTCCAAATTAAGGTTTCTGCGTTGATCTTAGAGCTGATATATCTGTGAGACTCATTTAAAACAGATATCGTAAACTAACTTCATACTATATACAAGGGGTCGCTCGACAACCGAAGCCGGTGTCGAGTTAATACAAGAAATTTTTAATGCCTGGGAGGTTCACATGATGCGTTAGGTGTTTTCTGTGACCTATCTAAGGCATTTGATTGTGTTTTTCATGAAACATTGATTAGGAAACTGCATTTTTTGGATTTAGAGATAACTCATTGGATTTTATTGTCTCATACTTGACTGACAGAGTACAGAGAGTTGATATCAATGGCAAAAGATCCCCTGGATCGAAAATTAAGATGGGCGTTCCGCAGGGCTCAATACTTGGTCCTTTCTTGTTTTTGATTTACATAAATGCCTTGCCTTATTTCGTAAGGGATGATCACGAAATAGTTTTGTTTGCAGATGACACTTCACTCTTGTTTAAAATTAAAAGAGGGTTACCTCTAAATGACGATGTGAACAATTCTATCGCTAAAGTAGTACATTGGTTTAATATAAATAATCTTCTCCTTAATGAAGGAAAAACAAAATGCTTAAAATTTGTACTACCTAATGTTAAAAAAGTAGATATAAATGTTAATATAAAAGATAAGAACATGGGCCTTGTGGATACCACAGTATTTTTAGGAATAACATTAGATTCTAAACTACAGTGGGGCCCACATATTGATAGATTGTCGAGTAGACTTAGCTCTGCAGCATATGCCGTAATGAAGATACGTAGGTTAACTGACATAGATACTGCCAGATTAGTATACTTCAGTTACTTTCATAGTGTTATGTCGTACGGTATCCTATTGTGGGGAAATGCTGCCGACATACAAACAATTTTTGTGCTTCAGAAAAGAGCAATTCGATCAATTTATAATCTTAGGATTAGGGACTCTTTAAGGGAGAAATTTAAGGAAATAGACATTAGGACTGTTGCTTCTCAATACATATACGAGAACTTAATGTACGTACGTTCGTAAAAATATTAGTTTGTTTTCTATAAAAAGTGATGTACACAATTTTAATACAAGAAATAAAAATAAATTAACGGTGCCTGTCACTAGACTGCAAAAAGTTAATAACTCATTCAAGGGTCTTTGTGTGCGCTTCTACAATAAGGTCCCAAGCAAAATACAATAATTAGATATCATGCAGTTTAAATCTACTATTAAAAAATACTTATTAAAAAAGCTTATTATAAGATATCCGATTATATAACAGATAAGAACGCTTGGACTTGAGATGATCCAGCAACTGGATAGGTGATTACCTACTTCTTAACTCATTATCTTGTTTCCATTATTATTAAATGATAATGTTACTATTATAAGACCATAGTTTTTTTTATCTCTGTTTATAATGTATTGATCTGATAATGACATGGTTTTTGTAAATGTCATTACTCTTATTAGAGCTGGTGAGTTTCTTGCTCGTTCTTCTTATCAGCCAAAAGACGTCCTGAACGAGTGGTAGGGAAAAAATGTTGGACGATTCAAAAGTACTTTTAAGAAGTCTATTTGAATAAAGATTATTTTGACTTTGAATTTGTTGAATAGGTATTTTAAAATGATCTTTAGGTTCCTTTTATCATTTTTCATTTTAAATAATAATTTAGGATATATGATTTAAATTTTTTTAACAAAACAATCATTCTCGCTAATTTTCTTACTTATTGATTTAAATTTTTATTTAAAGTATAAACGATATACAAACAAAAAAAATGAAGAACAAATATTTTTAGTAAAAAAAAATAACTTTTATTCATCGTCAAGTCTCCAAACAAAAAAAAGTTTACCACCAAGCTTGATAGATGAACTTGATAGATATCTAAAAAGTAACTCGATAGATAACTTTTTCATGTATTTTTTAAATTCGTTTTTACGCAGTCGGGTTTTTTATTTTTCCTTTTTAATAGAGTAGATAAAGAACGTACCTATATAATTATGTATTATGTTCAATAAATAATAATATAATATAAACCAGACTTAATAACTACCTAGCCATCCATGATGCAAGATTTGAGTACATAATTATGTTATCTGTGATTTGGTAATCAAGTAGGGACTATGACGGCCCCAAACGATCGCGGGGCCCAGGCACAGCGGCGGACTAACTGAATAGGAGGCCCTGGGCGGTTATAGGTCCGGCTCGAAAACTTTAAACATATTTAACTTTATTTTGGCCCATTTGGAGGCCCATTAAAAATAAATTAAAATAAATATTTAAGGCACCCATACAATAAACGTGTTTCTATTTAACTCGATATTCAAATTCAACATCATTTATTCTGTCTAGGTTGTTACAAGCACCTTTGAATGTCAAAAACTACGTCATACTTTCGCAAATCTACGGCGAGAGACCTCGTTCTGAGAAGAACTGGCAAGAAACTCAGCAAGGACTGCCTTTTTCTATCTTTTTTATTTCATACAGCGAAGCCTTATTGGTAAGTGACTTCATAATGGCAACAGGTAAACGCTAGAAATATTCATAGAATATATTATACAATATTGTATTTATTTACTAGGTAAATGCAAAATAATCATACAACTTTGTAATCTAACACATTTATTTTATGAACACAGTTTACAATGATTGTCGCAGACAACTCTAAGACATTTTTATTTTAGATAAAACTATTTACAGTAGATATAATAATTATATAAATGCACAACGCTAATATAATTTATACAATATTATAATATCTTGTTTTAACTCACCGGGAGCAATTTAAGTAAATTCAATAGTAAGTGTTGGAGTATTTCTTTAATTACTTATTTTATAGTAATCTAATTTGCATTGTTACCGTTTTACCGATTAAACCATATTATTTCTGCATAGCAATTCTGTACAATTTCTATACTTCATGACGTGAATTCTAACACATGAGTGAATTCCAATTCAGGTTCAGAATCTACATAATCTTTTCCGGGTATCGGTATTTGGGTAACTTTTCCGCTATCTTTTGATGTGTCGTTTGGAGAGCCACTCTCGGGAAGTCCTATGACCTTAGGAGTATCTATCTTTGATACCCATCCTTATCAAGGCAACCACGACCACTCTGACAAGGGTATCCGACCAAGATCTTTTTTGTGGGTAAATATACCAAGTTTTAAATGATCTAAATAAGTACTTTCCGTATTTCAACCGACTTCAAAAAAAGGAAGTTATCAACTCGACGTGTATGTATATAATTTTATTTGGAAGGCATTATATTTGTATTTGTCTGTATGACCTTCTAAACACGTGTGCAAAATTTTATATTTAGATGTATTCATCTATGTATGTCTGTCCATGGATATTTCACAAACTAGATGACGGATTGCAATGACTTTTTTTTGTTTAAATGCTTGACTTTCAACTTAGGGTACACTACAAGTTTCATCAAAATCGGTTCAGTAGTTTAGAAGATATTATCTGTTAAAATTTGAGTTACTTATAAAATTATCCGACTTTAAAAGAGATGAGGTTATCTATTCGACTTGTATGTATGTAATTTTGTTGGAATATGGCGCAATATTCATGTATATCGGTCATTAATGCGCTTCTAAACACATGTGTTACATTTTGTGAATGTACATTAGGTATGTTCCCAAATATATACTTTTACTCTTTGTACGTATGTGTGTATTTATGTTGAGACAACGTATTTCTCGTAAATTAGACATTGGATTGAAATAATAATTTGTTATTTGATTTACTATTTTCAACTTAGGAAACAACATAAGAGAAAACTTAATAACTACCTTGGAAAAAGGCATAGCTTAACTAGAAATCACTTATTATTAAGAATAGCTTAAGGAGGTTTTTGAGCCTTACTAAACATTTGCTTATGTAGGCAATATTTGTCTATGATTTTGCATGCTTTAGTTCGTCTTCTTCTTCTATCTTAATGGCTATTTTTTGTTAGCCACAATCCTGCCAATTTCACATAGGAGACCACTACACGGTATAATAAATTAATATAATCAATTTGGAATAAGTAGCAAATCTCTTTTTTTTTTAATGTATGGCCTATTTGTGTTTACACAATTTCGCCAATGTCACATTAGTCGCCTTTACACGTAAAGAGAAAATAACAACAATATATATTTTGAGGTAATTAACCAAGAAAGATAATCGTGCTCTTGTATCTACACGAACACCCAAGTCGTCAATGTCCATA